ATTACTTATGGTTCAAAATTACAGGGTTACGGAGTATTGGGAGTCGTAAATTCAGAATCGAGCGGCTGTTCAACACGGGTTATAAAGTAAAATAAATAAAAAGATGCTGAATTTCTATTTTAATGATCTAAAAATTAACATAAATTAATAAACAATAAACAAAGATTTTGGTATAAAAAAATATAACACCCACTTTCGAATGCTCTAAAACGTTAAGTCAAAAACATTTAATGATATTTGGAATGTTAAAATTTCAAAAAATAACGGAAATTTTGTTGCCAACCCCATATTACAAAAAATCACTATGTTTTTAACTGTTACGGTAACACAGTAAGCCTAAAAATGTAAATTACATTTTAAAATATATAAAAACTTTCCAGTAATTAGGCTACGAAAAGCAAACTACTCTTTTCACCTTTTTTTTTCTATTTAATGGGAAGATAAAAAGATGAAAGATCCAATTTCGATTAAAAATGACCCTGAGCCTAAAAACAACGGAAGCTCTTGATGAACGAAGAAAACATGATAAAACGAAGATAAACCTCGAAAGAATTTTGAAACTGGGGAGGGAAAGCACTCCAAAACAGAAATTAGTGTCATTAAAGGGAAAAAAAACTTATCTTAAAACACTCAAATTTCTATGAAGTACTGTGGGACAATAAATATTTTCGATCTTAATTACCCGTGACCTGATAAATTATTTTATAATTTTATTTCCGTGTGCTTAATAAAATTTTAGTTATTATGATTTATTTGTTCTTTTATTGAAAATGCATAATTTTGCTAATAAAATACTAAATGTATTATTTTACTAATAAAAAAAAATAATTAAATTTTTATCCAAGATAATGAACATAAATTATGCAATTAAATTCATAAAATTGCTTACATCAACCTAATTATGCAATTTTTATATTATAATTATTATCAAAGAAATAGTTAAGTATTCATTCAATTGAAATAAAAGAGAATTTGGGTAATTTGAATAGGTACTTAAAGGTACTTTCGAATCAATAAAGCGAGGGTTCAAGGGAAAAAAAATCTTTTTTAAAAATATTAGCCCATTTGAAAATATGCTTTGAAACGTTAATTTTGGTTAAAGTAAAAAAATTCTCAATAATATTAAGTTACACACGTATAAGTTACACGTATAAGTAATAATTAAGTTACACACGTATTTTATTAGTGATATTCAGGAAACTAGTGCTCGTTATACTGACTATAAAACCGATCTAAACTGGTAAGAATAAATTACTGTAATTTATCATGACTGTAAAATATATTTATATAGATTAACTCATTTAAGGTTAAGTTCCAGGGAACTTTTTTCAAAATATTAATGATTGGTAGCTCAAATATTTAATTCTTGAAATTTATATTTTAGAAACAACTCATTTGTGATTACCATCATATATTGGTAAAATAAATTTACTATGTTCTAATCTAAAATTATGCAACATCGATATTTTAAAACAAAAATGGTTGGCAAATAAGGAAAAGTGTCCTACCACTTTTTTATAAAGGTAATTTTTATTTCACTGTGGCAACATTAGTCAGTGCGCAATATTATTCCACAATGGGTTAATGTTAAAATATGTTTATCTTTTTACCAACTTACGTTACTTTTTATTTTAACTACGTAGGTAAAATAAAAAAATTTTATTGATAAGTTTATATTTTAATTATTAAAGCATAAGGTACCGGGATATTAAAATAAATCATTATTACACGGAGATAAAAATTCTGGTAAAATTACCGTACTGCACGGTAATGACATTTCTAGTAAAAAAATAAAATAAATAAACATAATTGTGAATAATGCGGTATTTAAACCATTTAATTGGTAATTTTTCCGTTCATACGATATTGATTTATCGGAAATTTTTGTTTTCAAAATTATTGATCTTATTACCACACAAATAGTAAAAAAAAAAAAAAAAAAAAAAAAAAAAAAAAAAAAAAAACAAATACGAAACTAAAAAAGTAAATTTAACCAAATAAATAGTTTTTGTATCATACATACTCAAAGGCATCAAGATAAAATTACCACGTTTACCAAATTTAATCACATGTTATAAAACCATATTTTATTATTAATTTCACCAAAGAGCTTCGGAAAAAATTACAAACCTATTTGATGTTCCCATAGACAGGGCATACTTAGGGTTTTAGCGGCCCTGGACAAAATATCGGGGCATTTTATCATGATTTGTTTAACAAAGTATATATCAAGCATAGAATTTTTTTAAATTTTTCAATCACATTTTTTTATTGTTTTCGCGTTTAACGATCAAGACTCTGACAAAATGTATAAATAATACTGAAATGATTTAATAACACTGCGACTAATTCTTAATACCACTTAAAATAAAAAGTTTAATATTATTATTTAATTATTGCAAACTAATTACTGAATAAACAAAGTCAGGTATCAAATTAAAAACATTAATGAATCGCAAAGACAGGGAATCAACTTGTCGAATGAAAATTTAATTAATATAGATCAGAAAATTAATTTAATTTAGACCAGATTAGTTTAGATTATTTAGAAAATAAATTATTCCAGGCAGAACAAGTCTTTATTCTTTATTTTCAAGTAGACATTTAATAAGTTTTAAAATTACTTGTATTGAAATAAAAGTGTATAGAATCAAATAGGTATAATTGAAATAGATTTAATAATAATAAAACAGCAAATTATTTTAATTATGTAGCAACCACATCGCCAAGCTACCACAGCGCCACCACATACCAGGCAGTGGTTGCTCAGACTTAGAACCGAATGGACGTACTTTTTTTCTCCCTATCATAATTAATCAAATTTGTTCGTCCGTGTGCTATTTGTAAATTAAATAAAAATATTTGGCACTAAGCTTTTCCACATTTTAAACCCTCCGAGATCTAGCTAGGGCCACAATTATTATTTACAATATTGAGCACATTAGAATATGAAAATGATATGAAATAAATAATGAAAAGTTATAATTAAAAGGTTTCATTCTTATCTATATTTAAGCTCTAAAAAAAGGAATAATATATTTTGTTTCTGAATTTATTAACTTATTTTTTGATTTTATGAATAAAACATTTATTAATGAGATTTGAAATCAATAGTTTATTATCACAGCTTTAGGTATGATATATTAGCTAATGGAATACTGTATACATAATATTTTTTAGATAAATCTATGATTAGAAAAAAATCATGTGATTCAAATTAAGGATTATTTTTAGTTAAATATTTTTAAATCATGCCAACACTGCTTTTCATTTTTCTTGACAATTTCCGCAGCAGTTCTTAAGGATTGCTCTCCACACACTCACAAATCGACAATAGTTTAAATTTTTAATCGAATTCATTTCTATGACATAAAAGTTGAATGAGGACAAAAAGTTTCATGTTGTAATTAAAAATATATATATTAATTAGTCCATAATTTTTTACTGCCCAGGGCGGTCGTCCATTCGAAAACATTTACCTTGCCCGTAGAGTCGGAAACACAGAAAATTTTACCATATTCTGGTAATTTGGACCATGCTTTTTTTTCTCAGTGTAGGATAAACCCTAATTTATTACAAAGAGGGGTACATTGGTCGAATGAAATATTTATATAGCAGAAATTTAGTATTGCTAAAATTACTTCCTTAAGAATGCACAGTAACTCAAAAACTTTGTTTAAAATTTTTTGAACAAAAATCTCACAGTTTAATTTAAGCCCTTTATAATATTTCAGTTTTTGTAGTCTTTTAAAAATGTTCGAAACGTAGAAAAATTATAAACGATGTTGGAGTATTGTTTATAGTTTAGTGGTTAGAAAAAATCAAAATAAAGCTCATCCAAAATCTTTCCTGTAGATTTATAAAAAAATTCATGGCAGTAATGATTAAATTAATCAAATTGCCTAAAATTCCACTAAACTATTTAACTGTTAATTCATTTAACTGTTAATTTATTTAACCCTTTCGGTACCGTCATCGTGCGATTCTCCCTTCAAGGCATATGAAACGAGCTTTTCTGATTCTAGCGGCCCAAGATTACACAGACGTGACCTCAATGCGGTGCTCTCGTATTAGTACATATAAGTATTGATGGAACTAACCCGCTTTTGCGTTACGTGGAGAGGAAAACCCTCGAAAACCTCCCAGGGTTAGTTTAAAGTCAAGGGGACTTTTTTTTCTTCCTTTTCCTCCAGACGTGGATACGTCCCTAGGTTTGCAAAACCCTTACCCGTATAGTTCACGTTTGGCTACCAGTCCAGTTTACCACAGTCCCGGGAGCAAGCCTGATCAGCGGGTATTTATTAAAATAAAATTGCATAATACATAATACATAGTAGCTTGCTCTAGATAATTTTTACAATAAAATTTAGGATACAACAATGAAAAGTCTTGAAGAGGACACAATGGTGTGCGTCACATTTGTTTAAAAAAAGAAACAATAAATGAAACAAATTTTGTTATGTACATAAAATAATTGAAAAAGAGATATAAAAAGAAAAAGGAAAAAGAATAAAAAAAAATTGTACATGAATGAAATGTATCATGTAAGACAAAAAAAGTATTTTATATATAAATATATATATTCTTTTAAGTAGGCAGTCCATAATCTTAATGAGATTAAAATTTTATTAAATTATCATTAATTGATAGAAAAAGCACTGTGTTTTTGAGCTTAGTATTTAATGTCTTTTAACCCATTATCCTTCTACCGCTGAGGATATTTAAAGTCAGCACTGTAGTTGGTGCAAGCCGGATGCGGAATTCGTATCGACCAGCCACCGCTGGGATTCGAACCCGGTTCACCTTGTTGTAAGCCGACCCCCTGCGGCTCATAATAAGAAATTTTTTTTATACATATAATAAGAAAATTTAAAAAAAAATTTAAGAAAATTAATAATTGTTTTAATTCTAAGATAACAAAGCTCGTATTATTTATGCATAATTCTAGCAAAAGCTCTCACTATGTTTTAAATTACCTAATATCTATTTTTGTCTTTCAGTGGCACTACTGCACTACTTATGTAAATGACGTTACTCAACGTAAAAGGAAAGGTCACCTTAAAAGGGATAATATTTTTCCTCATTTCTCAATTGACTGATTTTCGATTTCGTTCAGACGGAAGAGTAGCTTAGTACTTCAAGTGCGAAGAGGAAGTCAAGGTGGTGAGAAGGCAAATAATAAAGTGAATTATCGCGTTCTTTTCATTTCCTGATCATAAGAACAAATCAGAACATTATTTTTTCTAGAACACGTATATCGACACTGAGCCGGAATTATAATGATCCTTGCGTCACGATTCTAAGGTGGTTTATGAGTTATGAAAAGATAACATTCCTTGAGTTCTTCCTGTCAGGTACATTTTTTCTCACTCGTCTTATGGCACCTGATTGACATGGACACTGGGCTGGGCGTCCAGTGGCCACTCAGCCCTTTCGCCACTGCGATCGCAACAGGGGCGCTGTTTGCTTTCTGTGTTACGCTGTGGAACAAACGTCCGAATCGCACCCCACCCCAGGACTCAATCGAACATTATTCTGTAGGTCAGAATGTCACTTGTCGGAATGAATTGCAAGAATGCAGTGGCACCATTCAAAGGCATGTTTTGAAGCTGGAAATACCAACAGATATAATCGATACATCGGTATTTAGTTTCCCATCGATATATCGTAAATCAAACGAGGAGGAAGAATCTAATGCTCTGGTTTTTGCACTTCCTAGTGTTAGTGATTCGAGTGGTGTCACAGTAAAACTGATCGATTTGGATGGTAGATATTCAAAGCTCAATATTGGACTTTGTCTAAAGGAAAAAGTTACATTCGGACGGACTTTTCCTGTTTTGGGAAATCCATTGGTTTATTTCCCCAAACCAGATCCAAGAGAAGCATTGCGATTTAGGATCGGCGTGAATTCAATTCAGTTCCATCAATTAATGAAATTTAAATACCCATATATTTATCGTAATTTTTCTCGAAATAGCTCTCATGTTTTCAAGAAGTACAGTTATATTAATGATAGATTTTTAGATGCTGAATGTGCTGGCAAAACGCAAAGTAATTTACTTGAGAATAATGTTGTAGTTTGCCTTGTTTCCAAGACACCTAGTTGTACGGCTGACGCTGAAGTGCAGACTTGTGAAACAGCATTTGAAATAGAAAAAAATAAACATCAGACCCTTAATTTAGAAGCTATTACATCCCGAATGGAACTAAATGAAACAGATTCTGATAATGAGAACTGGAGCATAAATACTGTAAAAGCTGGTATTTCTGAAAAACGAGATTTAGGAAATAACGAGAATACAATAGCCAGTTTTGATTATGGCAATTTGGACAAAAATACGTTAAAAAATGCAATTTATGAAGAACAAAATGCAGTAAAGAATGGAAATGAAATAATCGGTCATGATTATACAATAACCAATAACGCTGATGATAAATTGAACACAAACGCGACAAAAGGGCCAAGTTTGAAAAAGCCTGATAGTTTCGGTGCAAAAGAGGATAAAATTGCTGGAAGTGAAGGAAAGCAAACTATTTTCGAGAATGAAAAATCTTTAAATGCAACAATCAGTGAAAAAATTCTATCCGAAGATAATATGAATAAGAAATCTCAAAGCATCGATTTCAATCAAATTGAAAATAATAAACTAGAAACTGAAGCAATTAATGGCTCAAAATCAAATAGCAATTTATTAAATGCTGATGAATATACCGACAAAAATTTTCCAAATAAAAATTCTAAAAATGGTTCAAAAAACGTTACGGAATTCGAACAAGTTAGAAAAGAAATATTAAACAAAACGTTTAATAAAAATATTTATGTGAACGAAAAATATAATTCAGTGTTTACAGAGAAAACGTTAAAAAAAGAAAATGCCCCGATGCTGTTATCGGTCGAAATCAATGGAACAACATATGGCGGGAACAAGTGTCAAGATGTCAACTATGACGAACCCACACGTGCTTCTTCTATCATTGGTAGAACTGCTGATGTGAAAATGTCGATAAATTACCCCAAAGTGAGCATCCCGAAACATAGATCGATGAAGGAGAATTTGGAAGAATTCCAAGAAAGTGGTGATAAGGAAGAAGTAGTGATGACGCCGCGAAAAAACGAAGAATTATCGTTTGCTCTTGAAACGAAGCAAACCTATACAATAGGGAGAAGATCTAATAGCTCCCAAAGCTTGATCGACTGTAAAGAGGGGGTGGCGGGGAGCGGCGGCACTACAACAAACGATCGTGACGTAAAATGTGAAGGAGAGGGGGAATGTTCTACGTCACGCACTCGAACGGCTGATGAACGAGAGGCTCGCTTGGAGTGTTGGCAAATGGACCGGCGGTCGGGCGAGAGGTCGGATGGCGGAGTAGATACTTCATGCATAATCGAAACTTCTATTACTAGCGAAACGTTGATACAGAAGAACGGCGGAACGCGCGTTTCGAGTAGCGTTACTCTTGATACGTCAAATGTTTGGCTATCGGATACCACTTGCAGCAATGGAATGGTCAAAACAGTGGTCACTATGGATTCTAAATATAACGAAAATAAAAATGATGAGTTTTTCAGACCCACTTACGAGGAATTTATGCCGGATGAGAGGAAAAGTTTAGATGCGACTATTAAAGAATTGAATGAAATTGCGGAGCGGCCGCTTGTTTCTTCTGAACCTTCATCCCCCCGTGTGAGCCGGTTAAAAGCTCTTCTAAGTCGGGATGAAGAAAGACGCGCCAGAATGAAGTTCTTTCAAGAAAAATCCTCATCCGTGAATGGGAGTGGAGGAGCTGGAGCATCGATTGACGGGGAGTGGGATCGCATCCTGCGCGATGTCTTGGCTAGTGTTTCCGAGTTAGAGCATTGGGAAAAGGATGAAGAACAGCGCCGGCGCTGTGACGTCACTGTTTCGGAGAGAGAGGATGCGGATAAACATTCTCAGCATCCTCACTCTGATTCTTCCCCCAACATGGAAGGGGAAGCTGCCGTTCTGAGCCCGAGCAAGGGCGAGACTCCAACAAAAGTGAAAAATCTGCGCTTCAAACTCGATCCCGATGTTTTCGACGTGCCTTCCGATGATAGCTTTTACGGTGACGATGACGACGACTTCCGACGGTGGAAGAAGCAACCGAAGTATAGAACTTTCTCTTCTCTCGAACTTAGTGATGAACCTGTCAAACTCGTGTCAGTGCATGCCAGTGTGGTACCGGCCGGCCATAAAATGGTCGCTCGGCCAGTTGGCATTGATTTAAGGGTTCGTTTGACTGAAGAACGCCAAAGTAAAAGAGCTCATGTTGGAACCTCGCCTTCGCAGGTTAAGAGACGATCTCCAGTTTCAGATGCCAGAGTCGGTTGGTGCCAGGAATTGTCGCCTGTCACTGAAAATGTTGATTGGCGAGAAAGTTTTACACCAGTTCCAAAAGATACTCCAGAAATTACAAAAACTGTACCGAATGGGATTTTAAAATCGCCATCTCCGAAAATAGAAGTTCGAGATTCCGCTAATCCTTTCAAAACTGAACAAAAATTAAGTAACGGTACACCGGTTGTTATTACCAAAAAAATTGAAAAACCTCTTACAAACGGTGTAGCTTGGAAACCTAAACCTCCAGAAAAGAAGTTTTCTCTGCCGCGAAAAAAATTCACACCTGATCCTGAAGCTGTTGACCGCATCACAGGATATAAACTTGCTTTAACAAAACCTCCGTTACCCCCACCAGTGTACCATCGTGTGACATCTCCAACAGTGAAAGCTAGTCGTGCTGAGATTGCCAGGAAACAGTATCTGGATAACAAGGCTTCTTTATCAGCACCTAAAGTGGATAGTAATACCAAGTTCCAACAATTTGTATCTCAAGCACAGAATGATCGTGCTCGCATTGTGACTAGTGTTCCTGATCTTGTAGCAATAGAAAAAGCCGTTAGTGAACAATGGGCTAGAGAGAGAACTCCATCCTCTCAAAGAGAAAGTCCAGCCAGAGATGATGAGTCTAAATATGGTGACTCGATGTCATCGAGAGGTAGTACTCCAGATGATGCATGGGCTAGCTATGTTCAGTCTTGTCGAAAGCACTTAGGCCGCAGAAGTCAAAGCATGACTTATTTAGAAACTGATGTAGACGTGGTTGATATTCCACTTTTTGAAAATGATGATAAGTGGAGGAGCACGAGTGCTTTAGGCGAGCCAGAAAATAGTGAAAGCTCTTTGCCCATAGAAGACTCAGATTTGGATCAAAGTCAAGACGATTTAGATGACTCTGGCCGAGCGAAATCTGAACACGAGTTGCGTATTCAAAGATCTCTGCAGAGCCTACCATTACCATCTTGGTATAAGCAGTCCGAAAAACCCAAAACTGGATTTTTATTAGGTTCTGGTAAAAAAGAAAAGCGTGGTTGGGCAGCTGCTAAATCCCTAGCTTCTTCTACGTCTAGCTTGGCATCATGTGGACTTAAAAGACCAATACATTCTTTGAGGTCTTCTCGAGAGAACATTCCATGGTCTAGAAGCTCTCCATCTCCTGATGGACCTGCCTTATCTTTAGCGCTAGCTAGAGCTTTTCGTGAACCTTATCTTGGTTGGAGAGCCAGGACATCAACAACTAGTAGTGGTGTCTCTAGCTCTCCAAGGACTTCTCCACCTTCGTGGAGTGTCGCTACCACAGATGAGGAAGCAAATGGAATTTCTTTTGATGGGGAAGATGCCTTTGGAAGGACTTCGTCTCAGGATGATCGTCGAGATGATCCACCTTCACTGGATGACACAGGTGCCGATGCTGTAACGGTTTCTATGGATACCGGTGATCTGGGTAAACTTCCTGGTGGCGAAGACACCTGTGATGATATAAACAATATGTCGATGGACACTTGCGAGTTGTTTGATGTCAGTATTGTGCCAGACGTGGAAGAGCAGGATGTATCTCCGCAGGCGGACACTGGTGATGATATCGATAATCTATCAACGGACACAATTGAGGATAAACGGAAAGATCCTAAGTTTAAAAGATTCTCATATAGCCAGAGTATTTATAACAGTGAATGGGACGATGAAGAGGAATCGAGAGGTGATCTTAAATCGATGCAGAAAAATCGTGAAATCAGCCTTTCATCGGACAATAACAAAGTAATTTGGATTGAATCGTCATTTGTTGGATCGAGGACTACCACATCCATTATGGTGCTACCTGAAGACAAGAAAAAACGTGAAGGAAGCCTTGAAAGGCCGGCTTCCAGATAGCAGGGTAAGTTTTTTCTTCTTCTTAATAATTAAATATTAAGTTCTAGGTAAATAAAGTATTCATCTATAGAGTTGTTTGGACATGTTAAACGTAATTAAAAAACACCAAAATTCTCTAGTCTGTATTTTAACTGTTAAAAGAAAAATGTTTTTTTCAAAAAGTTTCTTGATGCTTACATATATTCTAAACCTGATTTTCTTAATTTACTAAAATGTGTCTTAAATTGTTCTACCATTTTTTTTAAATTGCTCATATTTTGTATATGGATGTTTCTTGCAACTAAGAAAGTTGTAGCAAATTTTCATTTTAATATATAATGGTTATTAGAATCATTTTATGTATATTTTATCATTTGTTGTCTTTTTTTTAATATAATTTTTATTATAGAAATGAGCACTTTTCAAAATGATGCTTTTTAAAATCTTTTATTATTAAAAAGTTTATTTGCAATGTCGTAAATTTTTCAATTAATATGAAGCTCTGAATTCCTTTAAAAAAATACTAGTTTGAAAATTAATACTTTTTAATTATTCTTTTATTTTTGTATAAACAATACTGAATATCCATAGATTTTTTATTATATACATTGCTTAGTTTTATACTGAAACAATTTTCTTGATTGATTTACTTCTATTATATGAAACCACTTAATTTGTTTTAAATTCTAATTTATATACATATATAATTTTTTAATGAACTACTAGTACTATAAAAATTTTGAGCAGAAAATTTTAAGTTAGGGCCAAGCAGTCATATAATTATAACAAATTACAGTAATTTGCTAATTATTATATAGCATCTAATAATTAGCAATTCATGTTCGTTTTTTTTAAAAAAAATTTTTAAAAATTTGCATTTTGGATTTTTTCTAAAATAAGGATACTTATTATATTTTGATGTTTGCATATCTTGATGTTATTTATTTCTATATTTCAGAAAATTTTAAGTTAGGGCCAAACAGTCATATAATTATAACAAATTATAGTAATTTGCTAATTATTATATAGCATCTAATAATTAGCAATTCATGTAGTTTTTTTTAAATTTTTTTTTTAAAAATTTGCATTTTGGATTTTTTCCAAAATAAGGATACTTATTATATTTTGATGTTTGCATATCTTGATGTTATTTATTTCTATATTTCAACTTCAACAACTCATTTTATTATTTTTTTAACTGACCATAAAATAAACAAAATAATATTTTAGCTTTAAAAATATATTTTAAAATTATTTCTTGAAAATTTCCATTTTTTTTTAATTAATCAATTTGATTACAGCGAAAATGTTAATTTGTTTACTGTTTGTACAAAATTTGCATCGTTAATATTCTTAACTAATCGATTTTTTCTTGAATAACATATCTTCGTTTCATATATTTTATCAAACTTTTTATCTTAAATTTAGAATTATAAAATTTTTTATAATTATTGCTCTAGTATCAATCACTTAATTTAAATTTATTTTCATTAAAAAATACGTTTATTGTTAAAAAAGTAAAAAAGTAAGAGAATATTATATTGATAATCAACTGATGAAAAGTCTTCCTGTTGCCTCGTGTTCTATTTCGAATAAAAGAACGAAAATAAATATTTCGTCATTGTTTTCAATGAAACAATATTCAAGGTCAATATGCATTCCTCTGAGAAATTTAGATCAAATCACACTGAATATATATATTATTGTAAGTAAAAGCACCTGCTCTTATTTTTTAAAATGTCTATGTTTACATTAGGGTTGCTTTTAAGCTAAGATGCCTGAAAGAATGTGACTTTATCTCTAATCATTTTAGTAAACAAACAGGGTCTAAGTGCCTGAGAGTCGTATTTTATGACAAAAAACGAAAATGCAGGAATTCTTGGGGATAAATGTTTATTGTGCTTTCTGTAACTGGTCTTTCAAAAGAAAGTATGCGACATTTATTGCGTTTTTACGCGTAATTTTTATTGCGTCATTTTAAATGTCACGTTGCACTATTTAAAAATAAAGCGTATGAGACAATTTCTGTTCTGAGATTGTTTTATATACGGATACTAAATAAGTGTTTTTTGGACGAACTTTTAATTTTTAAATAATTGTTAGCGTTGTATTCAATTGCTTTCAAACTTACAACAGGCTTTATTTGTTATTTTATTATTTTTGTAATAAAACAATAAAAAATAAAATTTAAAAATTTTTCGGGGATGAATATTTATTGATTACTTTGATTGATTTTATATAATTTATTTTGCCTTTTGCGAAAAAAGATAATTAATTTTTTAAACAAAAAAAATTTAGAATCTTCCACTTGTAATTTACGTTAACACAATATTTCATCAGAAAATTAAAACTGGATAATTTTTTTACGGTAAAATTTTATTTTCTTAAATGTTTCTCTGAAGATAATGGTTTTTATTATTTAACCTCGTGAATGCATTTATCTATTTACGTAAATTGTTGGTTCTTCTAAGCGTTTTGTCACTTAGGATAACAAGGTTCCTTCTATTAGTTTGGGAAGGAAAATTATATTTTAAACAAAGCATTTATTGTTTAGTAATCTTCTATCAGCAATTTACATTAGTACAATATTTCATAAATTCAAAACTAAATAGTTTTTATTTATTTATTTTGAAATTAATTATGCTTTGCAGGTTAAAAATTAATCTCAATGAAATGATTTTTATTATTCTCACCTCCATATAATGAATATTTTACATTTTAAGAGTAATAAAACCAAAATTAACGGTGGTTCATATTTATCATTGGGAATAAAAGGAAAATAAATAAATTGGGCATACAGTTTTTCCTTGTCATATTTATGCCATAAGTTACTGGAATTATGTCATAAACTTTAAAATATCCGAGAAAACTTAAATTCGTAGCAGGTTTTATGTTTATTCTCAGGGCAGGTGAAATAGAACATAAGTAAAAAGATATTTTCTTCAAATCAAATTTAGAGTACAAAGTACTTGATGTTATTAAACTTAAAGTGCAAATACATACTTTCTAAACTTATATTCTTAAAGCAGGGAACATGAACTCTAAACACAAATTCTTAAAGCCTATTCTTATAGCAGGGAACAAAAGCCTTAATGCAACATGAAATTTCATGAATAAAAATTTGATTCTAATCATTAAGACCCGAATTTCTATGAAATTTTGCATTTTTAGACACTTTTGCACTTCAGAACAATTTTTCGGTCATTCCTTTTTAATATTATGGGTCATTTGTGACATTTTTAGGAGTACAAGCACATTCTTACAATTTGCACACATTTTAACTCCTAGCCGTTCTAGTTGTATGTAATTTCGAGAGCTTGAGTTGATTTTAAGCTGATTTAAAAAAGATACACAGAATGTTTCAAAAATAGTCTAAATCTAAACCATCTAAATCTTGTCATTTGCGTAAGTCAGCTTCTGAGTTCTACATACAGTGTACAAGTATCAAAAAAGTTTTCCATTCTTTTTTAGTTTTTTTTAAATTAAGCATTAATTTCAAACTTTCATAAAAATAAAAAGCAAATTTTTCTTTATATTGTTTTAGTTTTCATGCAGTTATATGTTTTATGAAATTTTAGGAAAGAAAGATGTTTTAAAATGAAATTCTTGCTGTATGGCCAGATGATTTTATTTTTTTTATTTTAAGGTCATTTTTAGGGATTTTTAAGTCATCAAAATCAGGTATCTACTTGTCTTAATACAACTGACATTCTCTTGATGTGTTTTGACACATGGGCTGAAAATACATTCTTGATATTAATGCGCACACATAAAAATGTGAAATCTCGTCATGAATCGAAATGTTATTTCTTAAGAGAGAGAAAAAAGGGAAAAAAAATCTTATTCAACTCAATGCCAAGTGCCACATTCCGCAAAATCTTGTTGCCAAAATGATGGATTCCTGCTACAAATAGATGAATCCCTTCTTTTTTTTTTCTTCCCCTTTCTCCGTCTTCAGATTTTAACCTTTGTGTTCATCAAAATATTTTGTAGATATATGAATCATATGAATCATTCGGCTTTTGGCCAAATAATTTTCTGTTAGTGAATCAGTCATTCTTCTGCTAAATTATAATTTCTAATGTGATTTATAAAACGTTTCAAAATACTTAAAAATGATCAAATAAAAATTATTTTAAATGTTGCTTTGGTAGAAGCTTTATTAGTTTGTATTTTACGATAAGAGGGATTTAAAATTCAGGGCAATTTTTTTGGAGTAAAAGGGACTACAAATATTTGAAGAGAACTTATTGAAGTTGTTTTAAGTTAGCTCCTATTTTTCTCTTAAAATAGACGACTGTGATTGACTTGTTCAAATATGTTTACCTACTTTATGTTGTTGGTTGTGGTAGTGGTCACGGATTTTCTGTCAATTCTTTCAGCTGTATCAAACCATGAACCTAGTTTGTCATCACATTGAATTTTTTTTTAAAGTTATTCAATTTTTTTTAAGATAGCCCCAACGTCTGATTATAAACACCTATCTGAATCTCGTAATTAAATTTTTTTTTATAGTTAATTATTTTCAGAAAATATAAATCTTTTTTAAATGTGTATAAAAATTCTAATACGGAACACTTAGTTTTGATTTTTATTATACCAAACACTTTTTTTAATTTACTATTAAAAACAAGTAAAAAAATTTTTTTTCCCTTTTACTATTAATTTATAAAAGAGTCTTAATTTATAAAAGAGCGTTGAAAATCTATAAATCTTAATGTAAAACAGGAAATTTTTTCTTTTTCAAATAAAACTATAACTTTATTAATTTGTACTCAGATTTATTCAGCCTTTTATTTTTGCTTAAGATTGCTTTAAAATAAGTACATTTTTTTTCGTGTAGTTAAAAAATTTATATTTTAACAGTATAATAATTTATAAACTATTTGTATAATATTATATTTTAATAATAAAAATGCTGTTTTTATACGCACCGTTTGCTAAATGATATCACCCGTATTTATTTATTTTTAATGAAACATTATAAAAGGTAGAAAAATAAGTAAAAAAAATTTTTTTTACTTT